AAATGTAATGTGCTGTATCCCAGTTGTATTCATCACGATAGGCTAATTGACCTGCTTTTTAATTTTCACCTATCATCCCTCACTGGTGCACCGCCAGCATATACCGTTAGCGTAGGCGGAGTTACCATTCCATTATCATCCTTAAAAAAAAATACTTGACACAGAAACACAACTGTGACAGAGGCTTAAATAATATTGTTTTTATTAATTTAAACTATTATCATAAGAATAGATTTCTGTTATTTGTCCTAAAAAAAATTAAAATAACACGTTTTGTACCCGGTTGATTACCAGCATTTTTTTAATGATTCTTTTAAAATAAAGTCACTTATTAATCGTAGGATAAATTTTCGTTTCGTCCTTAGTACAGGCGGAGTGCTCAAGTAACCCGTGCATATCGTATTGTTATTAAATACCGCAGTCACGTTATCGTAAATACACTGCCGATGAATATTGTTTACATGTGTAATGCCGATGTATTATAGAGATCACGTACTAACACTGTTTATAGTGAACTACTGCCAATAGTTGTCAACTACAAATAACATTCAATCTATGCGCTCTATATCTCTATATCTATGTATACATAGGGTGCTATCGACATCATCATTTCAGCCATTATCCGTCCACTGCTGGACAATAACCTCCCCCATAGACTGCCATAAAGAACGGTCCTAAATCACCTGCATCCACTGACTCCCAGCAATACATTTCAGCCATCCATCTAAGAACGGTCCTAAATCACCTTTCATCCCCATCGGTGTCTCCTTCAGTCACTACAGCTTGCTTATCCTTTAGGCTATGTCGGTTATTTATGTTCTTTTGCGGAAATCCTCGTTTCGGATTCTATCACGCAAAGTGACTCCGAGCATAGCCCTCTCCATAGCCCGCTGAGTAATTTGAAGCTTTTGCATACGGACAATAGTTTAGGAGCATGTTTCGGTTCCATAAATCATCACTGGCAACACGTAGTGGTTAAAGACCTTCGTCTTCAAATTCTAATGTATTTTGGATGAAAAGATGTGTCGCTATCGACATTATTAATGAGCGAACAAATTGAGCTCACTAACACTCTAACATAGAATCTCTTTCTTCCCCGGCCATCATTTAGAGATATGTCGGTTCGTTATCATGGAAATGCTAAGTAGTGGTAACATATTCGTAGTATGTAGCAAAGAAATTCTCCAAATTTTTACCCACTTACTAGCAATATACCATGTCAGGTCGCCCTCCTCGCAGTCCTCCCCGGAAACCATCGTGCTTAATTCCTAGCGAATTCATTACGATAGGCTAACTGAGATGCCTTTTCATTCTCACCTATCATCCCTCACTGGTGCTCGCCCACGTATATGGTTAGCGCAGGTGGAGTTACCGTTCCATTATCATCCATTAAAACAAAATCGAGACATTCAATAGCAAAACAAGAAACAATGGCGACTCTGTTGGCGGGCCCCAATAATGGCGACATGTTTAAATCACAGCAACAATGACGCGTGACGTTTCTTCTACGCGCCACTTATACTTTTTCCTACTGTTAGTTTTTGCTATGTCGGTTATTTTCGTTCTTTTGCGGATATCCTCGTTTCGAATTCATATTAAATATCACGGATTAATTGTCTTCATTTTTACCCAACTGCTATTTTTTTCAGATGTAGTTGTGTATGTACTAATACGTCCGGTTGTCTGGTACAATACGTAGCCTATGGAGACTGTAGTTAGATTCGCCGTAATTGTGGGAATACTGTTATAGGCCACACGTGACGATAACATAAAATAATAATGACGGCCATAAACTATTGTAGTAAAACTGTTATTCATTCATTCAACGTGTTAAACATAATTACACACAAATAAATACACGTAATCTTTACAGTGATTTGATGATTCACTGTTGAGTTTCTTTGCCTGTTGACAACAAACTAATACAAGATAACACTTCGAAACCACAGTAGAGAAATGATAGAATAAAACAAAATAGGCCTGATGAGTATAATACAAGTTGGCCTCATACGCCGAGTGCTCCATGCGTAACTAAAGATTTTGTTTCTTGAATTCTGGCAAAAACCAATTATTTTGATTTCAAAACTAAATTACTGAACCAATTTTGATAAAACTTCTATGACACCAATCTTTATTTATTTTTTTTCAAAATATGATCTTGTTTACAATTTATAATAATGTAATAAAACGGAGGATTTCATTTGTTTGGAAGTGAAACAAATCTGTAAAAGTACCAGTTGAATTTGAAAAATTATTTTTAATAATTATTTATTTAAGTTTATATTATTTAATTCATTATCCTTTTTATTAATCTGCAAGTATTTTAGTTTTTTTTTTTTTCAGATAAAAATATTCCAAATTGGTTAAGAGTTGACGATGTTATGAAGTCACAAGCATAAAATATACAACCGAATCGAGAACCCCCTTCTTGAAGGTTGAAGTCAGTTGATAAAGTAATTGGAAAGAAGTAGAGGGAAAACTATTTTGCACGTTTTCATATTATAAACAGACTATGTGGCTTAAAAATAAATAAAACTAGTTTCAGAATGTGCAAATGAAGCTCTTTCATTTGGTATCCCATTTGAACTATTTTGTAATTTTGACCGTCCTATTATCCTAATACAGCGTTGTAGATGGAGTAAGCGAAGTCGCACCATAAGCGTCTCTTATTACCATTGTAGTAAGGAACCCTAAAAAGACAAGTAGAAACTTATTTCAATATAAGTTATTTTTATTTTTTTGTTTTTATTTATTAATTAATTAATGTAATTAATTTGCATATATTGCTATGTATTTTTCTGTTTTGAGATAAATGTAGAGCTGTTTTTAAAAAACATAAAATATTGAAAGTAGACTTTTTATAAAAAAAAGCAATCGCATATAAAATATCATATAATGGTAAATTTGTTCAGAGACCCATCTAAATTACACATGCCTAACTGTAAAATTTATTTCCATCAAAATATTATCTAGTAATTTGCATTTATTCCACAAAATATAAGAGAGATGCCTTTCAATTTACTTTCTTTTTTTTTCATTTAACAGTTTCCTCTTGTCGGTGCAACTAATTCATGCATCTTCTTCCAGCCAGCTCTATCCCAGGTCATATCCTTTATTTTCCTATACGACATGACGCCTAGTGTTTCTTTTATCTGTCCCATGTAGTTATTCTTCGGTCAATTTACTTAAAACTTATATATTTAATTACCGAATGTTTTTATAATATTAAAACATTCAATCCTAATAATAATTAAGTAATAGCTGAGACTGCATACTTATATATTTTTTTGCATACCGTACAGGCTAAGTGTGTCGAACAAAATATATTGTTAACATCTGCATTTATTTATAAATACGCATGTTTTACAAATCAAAGTCTTGAATATTATAATATCAAATTCTGATTTATTGATTAAATTGATTTAATTTAATCTACATATAAGATATTCTGATTTTCTTAATGAAGTTAGGCATGGCATAGCATATATTTATAGTATATTTTTATTTTATTACTTATGTATTACTATTAATTTTTTTATTTTTTTTATGCAACTTAGAATGGCATACAAGCGTACGACCTACCTGATGGAAAATAGTAACCGTCGCCTATAGACATGAGCTGTATCATTGACGTAACAGAATATACTGTTTCGCCCATGATACACCCCATGCGTCGCCATTCCTGAGGACTCATGTGTTATTCCTCTGTACCCGGTATATTCACTGCAATATCCCACTCTTCAATACGGAAACACAGCCATGCAAACACAAATGCTTCGCGGTAGAAACACCAATGGGACAGAGGTGCCCAAGCAAAACGACTTTTGTACAAAGTCTCCCTCTGGTTTTTGTTATATATTATATTACAATAATTAAACTTATAATTTTTTTAATAGCATAACTAACAATTTAGTTATTAATTAATGGTATTAATTTATTTATATATATAATTTATTTTGAATTTCTCGGATTTATTTATTAATTGACATAATTTAATTAATTATACATTTAATAATCATGTATCGTAATCCAGATGAGTTGTAAGAGTTTTTTTTTTTTTTATTTGAATATAAGTTTGTAATTGTAATAAATTATTTCAAGCAATATTATCGTTATTTTGAATTAGATCAGGTCATCGGGTTATACGGATACAGTTGATACAGATAACTGTATTCCCTACACGATATCGCTGTAACTGTAGTAACAACGCTACAAGTAGTTTTGTTATTATTATTATTAGATAATTAATATAAAAAATTGCACCTATTTTAATAATTAATAAAACTATATTTTTGTGTGTAAGTGTACATATAAAACTGATTTAATTCCGAAAAAAGGAGCAACTACAGGATAATATACTTATTTCGCAACCAGCAAGAGGTTGCTCTATATACGAGAACGGCAACTTCATTTGGCATTAGACTAATTCTATCGATTGCAAAAAGAATTATTATAATCGGTTCAGAATTGATGATAATGTTATGTTACTTAATGAAAAAAATATATCGCTAAATTTAATATAATTGTGTTCCCCAAAAAAAACCGACTTTAATTGTAGTAAAACCCATTACTTTGCTTTAAAAACTAAACTTCAGAACCTATTGTGATAAAATTTCTATTTCATTCATTTTCATTTAAGAGTTTCCTCTTGTCGGTGCAACCAATCCATGCATCTTCCTCCAGCCAGCTCTATCCCAGGCCATATCCTTTATCTCCCTATACGACATGACGCCTAGTGTTTCCTTTATCTGTCCCATGTAGTTAATCCTCGGTCTTCCTCTTCCTCTTTTGCCCTCTATCTTTCTTTCTACTATGCTCTTAAAAAAATCGTCATGTCGTATAAGGTGGCCCAGCATTTTGCCTCTTCTACTCTTTATTATTTCAATCAATTTCTATACGACCAATTTATAAGTATCCTTTCAGATGAAAATAAAAATTCCAAATCTATTTATTATTGACGGAGTTATGAGGTTACAAACATGAAAAAAATACAACCGAGCTGAGAACTTCCTTCTTTTTGAAGTCTAACTTTTAAATGTAACTTATTACATATTTGACATTATAATGGATTCCTTTGCAAATACAGGGCACTTCCTCGAGCGAGTTCACCCCTCGGCGTGAAGACGCCCGCTCTGTATCGAGGCGGCGCGCTGCGTGCCGAGCGCGGCGCGGAGCCGCCGAGCGAGATCCGAAGCAAGAAATGTAACGGTATCGAACATAACCAGCCGAAGCGATACAGCGGCTTATGGCGGCCGCCGTATACGCGTGTATATACACATTAGTAAATACGTGTATATAAAGTTTATCGCGGCGCCCACGGCCGCGCGCGGGGTCGCCGACCGACCAGCCACAGCCACCAAATGGACATCAGGCCGCGTGCACTGTCGTCATGTGGCGGCAACTGTATCTACATACCACATATCTACACACTGCCCGCTGCCAACTGAGACACCGTAGCCATGTGGACACATACATACATATGCAATATAAGCATATTACATCAACACAGTGCACAATAATCAAAACATGTTCAAGGTTGGCAAAACAAGAGAACAACTTTTTGGTTGCAACTTTTTTATACGACTGGAAATGGAAAACAGGCTGAAATATTATATTGTTAAAATTGCTGATACAAGCTGACAAACGACGTTAACTATCGCCTACATATTGGACAATACACACTGACAGATCGAGCATCCATCTAATGCCATTTCTAAGAACTAATATGTGTAAATTCACAACCATATTGATCCCATATTTATTTCCAATGTTCGCCATTACAACTATCTATCACGTAGCTTGTTTACCTCTCCGAACTGCATGAAAATATAAACTACTATGCTTGGAAATCTTTATCCGCCTGCATCGGACTGTTTGTATCAGATGCAAGGTCGTCGCTTCATCTAGAGAGAGTTTGACCTACATTGCATTTGCCTATAAGAGACCACCAATTAGGGACATTTCTTAGATAGATAGATAGATAGATACTCTTTATTGTTTTCTCCAAAAGATTACAATAGTAAACTTATTATAAATATAAACAATTACAAGAAATTTCTTCTTCTAGTTATAGGTTGTACAGACAATGTAGCCGGCATATTACCAATCAGCTTGCTTATCTTTCGAGCTATCTCGCCCATTTTGTTTCTCCTGCGGAAATCCTCATTTTGGATTCTATAACGCAGTCAGTCTGCTTGCGGAGGTCAAAATTCCCATTTGTGTCAGCAGCGCAGCACAGCCACGTGTGCGTTGTAGCATGCGTTTCTATGTTCTATTACAAATAATAGACAAAAATGGACGCCTTAGATTGTCACCCACCTGAACAGGCTTTAACACACCTACAATTAAAAGTTAATGATGTGCAGCACCCATTGATGGAATGTGATAGGAACCGAAGGGAAAGGGAAACATTTTTAAAAACATTTAATATTAATAAATTTGATGTGGGGATTGTTCAGAGCATAATGCATGCTGCTACTGACAAAATTGGTTTATGTTTAAGTGAATTAGTAAGTAGTAATGTTTAGTTATAATTATAATAGTAGATAACCCGTTTAGATTGGGGGGAAAGGGATTGTTAATAATGGAGACTGAGAATCCTATTGCTAGCAATATACCCAACCAGGTCGACCTCCTCGCGGTTCTCCCTGGAAACTACCATGGTTAATTTCTGATGAATTCATCATGATGGGCTATCTGGCCTGTTTTCATTCCCATCTATCACCCTTCACTGGTGCTCTGCCAGCGTATCCCGTTAGCGCAGGTGGGGTTACCATACCATTTTCACCCATCAAAAAAACCCGTTTAGATTTTATGGGATTGACATGTTAAAAATCAAAAATCCCAAATTAAACGTAGATTAAAGAAAATGTGTCATTCACTTAAAGTAAGTTCTTAGATAATACATATAATATAACACGAAATTTGCTTGAATGAAAGACAATCAGGCGCTCCTTCCAAGTAATTTATTTATTTATTTAAATAACTTTAGTGACCAAAATAAAATAAGGTAGAAAAGGCGGACTTAATGCTAGTAGAATGCTAGTAACAAGTTAACCTTTGGAATGAACGAAGTGAATCACGAACTTCTTACTTCACTATTGGAATAGGGTAAAAAATAACAACTAATAATATATACCTATATAAAATAATTAATATATATATATATATATATATATATATATATATATATATATATATATATATATATATATATATAAAGATATATGCGTATATAAGTAATTAGAGAAATTAAAGTACACTATGACTAGAGCGAATTGTTTAGACTCAGCCTAGTCAAATATAGCTTACCACAAAATTGTTACCGGATCATTTGTGACCTCTGTCCCGTTTCTCCTCATAAGATGAGTCCAGTATACTAACCATTATTTTATTGAAGATCCCCTTCCATCTCTATATCCAAGAACAGACAAAAACACATACATATTCTGAAATATAAAGAAATTATATTAAAATTAATTTTTAACTAATTTCTCTTTAAGGTATGTATAACCTCTACTACTCCTATACCCAACTAGAGTAGGCAGTCTAACTGTACTGTCATTCAAATATTTTAAAATACTAAAGTGTCGAGTTAATTGATTATTGCAACATTAAATACTTAACTACGAAATTTTTGACAAGCGACACTTATCTTGGCAATTATCAGTAGCAGTGATAAAGTTATTATTATGACTTGTGCGGTGACGGACAGACGATACGGCTCGATAAAGAAATCGATGCTATATATTGCGATAGAAATGTCTTCATACATTTACTGGCAGTAGAATTTACTGTAACTTACCTAGATTAGTACCTGTTTTGTTCCCAGATTAAAAGCCTCTGAATTCCAATTCCTGCTTGGATTATTAAAAAAATAAGTTTCGTGCTTCAGAAATTATGAAAAGCCGTCATTCGATAAGCTATATCAATACAGAGTTTGTTGTGTATATTGAAGGCGACTTCAAAAGGATCACAGTACTTATTTCTGCCATGAAGTGCAAAAGAACGAGTGATCAACTGGTTCCACGTAATGGAATATGAAGCTGCAAATAAATATTAATAGTTGAACTACATATTCGTAAATATTCACAAAATATATCACCATCAAAAACACAGACGACTATTTTTTTTATAGCACAAATGTGGCAAACAAGCATACAGCGCGTCTGATGGTAAACGGTCACTGTAGCCTATGGACGCTTACAGTACTAGGAGTGTCACGTGCGCGTTGCCGACCCTGAAGAAACCTTGATATAGTCTTTTTGAAGAACTCTATACTGTAGTCTCTAATAATTACAATAAGTTTCCATTAAACAAACTTAAGCAACATCAAATTAATAGCTATACATACTCATATGTTTGTACAAATAAATTATTGATTGAATATGCACTTGTTTTACAATCACATTAATTGTCAACTCCTTCGACTGTAGCTCGGCGTATCCAGCGTTATGAATGAAAAACCAGACAACTATCATCTGGTTTTCAACACAAAATACTCAAACAATTAAAATAAAAAAAAAAAATAAAAAAAAAACAAAAAAAAATTACAGATAAACATATTATCCCAAGATCAATAAATAATTTTATATTAATAGCTTCGATTTATCTTCATGCAGCGAGTCGCGACACTCACAGGCATCGCTCGATAATCACACTCGCGCACACACATGCGCATACTCATCGTTCTTTCGTGTCGGGTTTGCAAAAATAATAAGGTGTACCATATTTAGCGAGGAGCATAGAAACACGACTGTCTGAAACTTAAACTGCATTTTAATGGCGAAATAGTTGTAGGCCACAGCTGCCGCGGCATCGCGACACCACTGGCGAACCCTCACGCCCACTTGCATACATGTACTGCACACATGCGTGCACTTTACACATATGTATACATATGTATGTGTATTGGTGACATAACTGTTTACCTGATTTCAATGTGGCTCAGTAATCTTATCAAAGTCAGGACATGTATGCGGGATAATTTTATTCCGAGATACATTTAGCCGTCCCCTTGACATGGCCAATTGATATTTCAAGAGCACGCCGGAATATAGCTGCCAGTACAGAGCATTAGAAATGGGCAAGGGTTCTGTAGCTACAAAAAATTCCACTATGTTTAGAATGATATAATTTTATTCGTAAAAGATATACTTGTCATCCTTACTTTTATCATACATTCCTACAAGTAACCGCACTATATGGGGGTATCATGGGCGAAACAGTATACTCTGTTATGTCCATGGTACTGCTCACGTCTATAGGCGACGGTTACCACTTTCCATCAGGTGGGCCTTCAGCTTGTTTGCCATTCTAAGTTGTCTAAAAAAAATTACTTTATACATTTGATCGACGTCGCTAATAAATTGAAAATACACAGAGACATATAAACTCCAATGAACAGAACAGATGATGCTACAGTGGGTCACCAACAATTATAGAGTTTTTTTTTATACGATGTTGACGGCCCACCTGATGGAAAGTGGTAACGCCCAGTACCATGGACATAACAGAGTTTCGCCCATGTTTCGCCCATGATACCCCCCGTACGTTGCCATTCCTGAGGACTCAGATGTTAATCTTCTGTACCCTGTAAATTCACGCCATATCCCACCCTTCAAACCGAAACACAGTCATTCAAACACAGCTGCTTCACGGTTGAAACACGAATGGGACAGAAGAACCCAAGCAATCGACTTTTGTACAAAGTCTCCCTCTGGTAACATCTTATGCAGATAGGAAGAAGGCAAACATATAGATCGAAATTACAAAGGTTCTTAACTAATTTTTAGTCGACTAATTACAACCCTATAAATCTGTCTGATATTAATACAGCACAATCAGAGTCGGTTGAATTAAAAGGAGTCCATTTTGGTATATGAATTTTAATTTGCAGAAAACAGACAGAATAAATAAGTGTTTACATTTGTCTGGATGCAAATATATTAAGTCCACTCTCGTACCGGACGCCCGAGATATGACATTACTTAGGATAATTGCTTCTCCTCCGAGTTATCCTGCAGATACAAGCGTATCTTTTGTATTAGGCACCTACTACTTATGCAAAACATTACGCAAGATTATGAAGGACAAATGACTTTTTAATTTAAAAAATAAAAATGAAAAATACATTTCATTGATATTTTAGGATTTAGTCAATGAGCAATTGCTACTCGATTTTATACATAAATATAAAGAGTATACCTATTTATGAAACTGCAAAACTTTCCCTAATAAAACAGTTGAAATACGAAAATATTCTTCAATCCTTTTGCAGGTGGCGATCATGATTTATATGAAAACTAGCGGCCCGTCCCGGCGTTGCACGGGTGGACATTTTTAACATTTCCCTTCACTGCTCTGCTACTATTGATCGTAGCGTGATGTAAAGTACACTGTAACCTGCCCAGCAGTATGAACAATAATTGTACCAAGTTTCGTTAAAATCCGTCGAGTACTTTTTGTTTCTATAACGAACATACAGACAGACAGACAAAAATTTTACTGATTGCATTTTTGGCATCAGTATCGATCACTAATCACCCCCTGTTAGTTATTTTGGAAATATATTTCATGTACAGAATTGACCTCTCTACAGATTTATTATAAGTAAAAATTTCAAGTCATTTTCTTTACACATTTTACTTTATATTTTAATGAGAAAAATTATTCAATTTCCTAAACAGAAATCTCTGAATTTCAATTAATATACTCCTCCGGACTTCAACTGCATACGATATTATAATTTTTTTAAAAGCCACTGACCGTCTTGATGGGAAGCGTAACCGTAACCTTTGCTCGCAACACGGCGCCGTACGAAACGACGCGTGTAAAAGCGATGTAGCTATAATGGAAAGTAGTGTCGATAGTGATAAATTGTGCAACAATGCGCGTCGCGGGCGCAGGTGCACGCCGCAGCGCCGCGCCGCGCCGCGCCGCGCCGGTGACCTTTGCAGCGCACCCCGCGCCGCCGCCGCGCCGCCTCGCCCTCGCTCCTCCACCTCGTTCCTATCCGTTATTACTAATTATAAGCGAACTAGTTAAAGGTCTACTATTTCAAGTACATAGATTATGTGCTGGGATTATTGCTTCCGTTGAAGGAACCTTCGAGTTTCAAAGTGTAATTTTAAACAGTATCTATACTACATTTTCTTTCAATCGATTGAATTATTTACCGTTTACTTTACGCGATATATTCACCAATTATAAGCTAATTCTCATCATCTTCACTTTCATTTTCATCATCACTTCGTCTTGCTAATTCGTTAAGCTATTGACGGTGATTTTGTTTCTCTAACGAATTACTTCGTATTGTATTAGTTCCCTCAGAGAATTTCCAAACATAGTCCTTCCCATAAGTCGCTGAGCCAGACTAGTACTATAAAATAATACAAAAAGAAGTATTACTCCCTCTAATGTAACAAGCTTTCATGGGGTGCTATGGTGCACATTCTTAATTCGCTTCCTTCTGTGTATAGAATTCATATCTCTACAAAATCGGGAAAACAACCATATATATAAGTCTTTTCTATTTTATAGTAGTCGATATATATATATATATATTTTTCAGTTTCATTATAATTTATGTAACAATATTGACCATACTCTTTGTCTGTTATACGATATATAGTTAATTATATATGTACTAGTATTATACCTGATCAGCAATATTCTAAATAGCATTACAATGAAGTAAATTAAGTAGGCAGTTGAAAGTAATACGAAGCGCATACATACTAGTTCTCAGCAACAAAGTGATTCAAATTACATGAATCAACAATTTGTTGAACTATTCGAAGAAAATGGTATGCTCACGTTGAAGGCAATAAATGCATTATTAAACGTTATTGGACCCAACTGGTGAGAGCACTGATTTAATTTTCACATTTATTTTATTTTTATTTATTTATGGCAACAAACAGCCATTTACAAAATGTTAAAACAATGTACATTACAGATTTACAATTATACCCCTTACAGTGCCAATAACAGTATTTTAAATATAGAGTTATTATTAATGAAATCCCATGGAAACACATAATCTAATGATATTTCTATATATATTATTGTTATAATTCTGAACATTCTCTCTCCTCCCTTCTTGTAATGGGGTAGACAGAAACTATGAAAACGCCGCCTGGTAACTTGTACCTTGAACGTAACATAAATATATACCTTTCTCTGTATATAATTTACCCATTTATTTATTATAATTGTCAACATAATACGCACCTCATGACTCGAGTGATAATGGAAATAAATTATTGGCCCATTTGTTATTATGATTCAAGTAAATTAAGTACCAAATGTTGTTCACATATATATCAAAATATAGACTTCTCTGTTCAAAATAAAAGATAAAATTTAAAGAAAGCAGATACCCTATAATCAATATCATCACGGTGCGTGGACACCCTAACACAGTATTGTAATTGTCATATGAAATAATAGATAACTAGATACCATAATTTCTAATTCAAACAAACGATACGTACAGTACTTACTCGTATTTAGTGTGCGTTAAAGAATATAATGAAAAAAAAGTATAAAAAGTGAAAAGCTAATTCAATCTCATTATAAAAACACAGAAATATGTATACGTGTTGTTAAGTATAATATAACACGTGACCTTCACTTCGTCTTTGCTGCATTTACAAAAAAAAAACGACCCACTCAAAAATACATGTAGGTACATATACAGCTCTTCTGCACACCTATACATGTGTATGCATAGTGTATATGTACACTTAATCGATGCCTCACCAATATGTCTATAACTATATAATGCATACGTACAAAATATAATCATTTTAATAATAAACGATTACTCGCACTGAAGTCAATATAAGGCTTTATAAAATTAGCGCTCACCATAAACGGCAAGAGATACGGCCCAGTTAATAGACGTTATAGAATATTTCTCTAATTGACCGAATTGTAACGTTCATAGTAGGAGAATGTGGCTTAATTTAGTCGCGTTCACAGTCAGTGTCACACAGTTCTTCACTAGCTGCTTGACCGCACGACTCAGTATATAAATATATCCTATTTTAAATTATTAACCTACTCATGTACCAAATTTCATTCAAATCCGTTTAGTCGTTTAAGCGTAATTGAGTAATAAATATCATCAATATATCAATTAATCGTCCACTGCTGAACATAAGTCCCCCCCCCCCCCCAAATTTGCCAGTAGTTGCCACGCTTAGCAGACGGGTTAGCAACCGCAATTAAGCTTTGGTAATGTTTTAAGAGGAACGCTACTGGAGGAACGATCCCTCAACCATAATTTACAACACAGTAATATAATATTATCTCGCCTCGTGCCCACGGGAAAGGAAGGGATGGTCCATACTGTGTCGGGACCACAAGACGAATAAATATACTATATATACAACGGAGTAATAAATATACAAACATCCAAATACATTTACAAGCTTTCTCGTTTATAATACTAGTTCAATAACTCGATATTGCAAGTCATTGTGTAGTTTACATAAACCTCACAAAATCCTTATCTAACTTTGCTTTTTCTAATTATCGAAAAGACGAGGCTAATGTTTTCTGTCTATTTATTTATTTCAAAAGGTTCACCTATAATTTTTTTACATTTTACATGCTACTTAATCAATAACACCAAAATAACTTTGCCTAAAGTTAAAGTCTTTTAGAGAGGGGGAAAGGGATTGTTAGTAATGGAGACTGAGAATCCCATTGTTAGCAATATACCCAACCAGGTCGAGCTCCTCATCGTTCTCCCTGGAAACTATCATGGTTAATTCCTGATGAATTCAACATGATGGGCTAACTGGCCTGTTTTCATTCGCATCGATCACCCTTCACTGGTGCTCCGCCAGCGTATCCCGTTAGCGCAGGCGGGGTTACCATACCATTTTTACCCATAAAAAAAAGAGTCTTTTAGAGGCGAACACCACAAGCACTATTATTAACAATGACAATGACCCAACAATAAACAGTTTAAGAGATTATGTCTAAAATTTTCCTTAGTAAGTGATATCTGCTGTTAATGGGTCCGGAATTTATGTCAATCAAATCGATGTGGGCGTTCAGAGTCCTACATGAATCTATGTATGTATATTATATGTAAGTGTATATGCACATATATACGTATGTCTAAATGAAACGACATGTAGCCTAAATGGCTTATCGGACTTTAACAAATGGGATATCATTAGATTAACTTTAATTCTTGAAGTGCTATTGCTTGCTACAACATTACAGTAGGTATAATAAAAAATAAATATGGCCGCCATAAACTGTCAAACTCTTGCGAAATTTTATAGTCGAGTTTTTTGTGAGTTTTTATGTATTTGTTTTATTTTTACATATATTAAAATCGTAACGAAGTCAAAATTGTACATTAAATATAGTTAGAAATTAATTTTGTGGATATAAAGATATGGAACGGAAACAATATAT